CCCAGCCTTCTGTGGCAATGAATTCCATAGATTCACCACTCTCTGGCTGAAGAAGTTTCTCCTTATCTCTGTCCCAAAGGGTCTTCGCTTTACTCCAAGGTTGTGCCCTCAGGTACTAGTCTCTTCTACCAATGGAAGCATCTTCCCGATGTCCACTCTGTCCCAGCCATTCAGTGGGTGATTGATCCTTGAAATTTGCTTCAATAAAGTTTATTTCAATTGAATAATCCATTTCAAGTAGTATTTCAAAATATTGAACATGTATCACTTGTAGGAGAAATGCTGCAAATAAAAGTGATTATAGCAAAAACACCACCAAATATTAATAAGTATCCGAAACATATAAGAGTATCACAGTTGTTATAGCACAAAAGAAGGCCATTCAGCTTATTGTGCCTGAGCCACCTCTTCAAATGAGCATCATTACCTTGTGCCAATCTCCTGCCTTTTCCCCATATCTTTGGACTATTTATATCCAAATAATAAACTAATGCCCTCCTTGAATACTTCAATTAATTTTGCCTTCACCACATTTCTAGGCGTGCATTCTGTACCTCACTCCTGCTTCATTTTGCATATCACTTTTTAATGCTATGCCCTTTTGTTCTTGGTCCTTTTACGAGTGGCAAATGCTTCTCTTCATCAACTCCATCCAGAATGTTTGACTAAGAAAACTTGGATCATATCTCCTCTTAGCCACCTTCTCTCCAAACAGAGCAGTCCTAACTTCAAAAATCTATCCTCGTAACTCAAGTTCCTCATTCCTGGAAGTATTCTTGAGAATTGCTTTGCATTCTCACGTTTTTCATGTTTTCCTTTTACATTTTTCCTATAATGTGGCACCTAGAACTATACACAAAGCTCGGGCTGAAGTCAAACATGTGTCTTACGCAAGTTCAACATCACCTCCTTGTACTTGTGCTCTGTCCCTCTCTTCATAAAGTCGAGGACACAGCATGATTTATTAACTGCTGCTCTTCACTTGTCTTGCACCCTTCAATGATCTGTTCACATATACACTCAGGCCCCTCTGCTCCTGCACCTCCATTGGAAATGTATTTTTTATATTATTTTTCAAAGTTCTTTCTAACAAAGTGCGTGACCTGTAATTCTCTACGTTGAATCTCATCTGCTATCTGTCTTCCTACTCCACCAAATTGTAAATGTGCTTTTTGGAGTTCCACACTGATCTCTTCACAATATGCAATTCTTTACAGATTTTGTCATCTGCAAACTTTGAAATTGTTCTTCTGTGCAGCAAAATCCAGATCATTAATATATCAGAAAAAGCAAGGATCCCAATATTGGCTAGAGGAACTCCACCACAAACATTCCTCAAGCCCAAATATCCATCCACCATACTCTGTTGCCTATCACTCAGCAGTTTTGTATCCACATTGCTATTGTTCCATGCTCCTCCAAACACCTGTGTGACTTTCACCCCAGTCTCAGTTTTTCTGCTACTGAAACCCTCATTCATACTTTCCTTACCTCGTGAAATCACTATTCCAATATACTCCTGTTTTCTCACATTCTACTCTCCATAAACTTGGTGATCAAAAGCTTTGCTGCCCGTGACTTAAACTGCAACAGGTCCTGTTCTGCTATGAACCCTGTGCTTGCTAATCCACATTGGGGGTAGAGTATCAATGGAAAAGACTACGTTCTCAAAATATAAGTAAATGTTGAGAATGAGCAGAGATTTTAAGAAAATAATTATCGTGACTGTGTTTTGGGGTGTCTTGAATGGACTGTGGTTCTGGAATAGAATGACCAGGTCAGTTGGAAAGAATATCATTACTGTTGAGTATGGTGGATGCTGGGACACTGATTAAATTGAAGGGAAAGATAGACAGATTTTCAATTAGAAATTAGTTGTAGGGTTATGTAGTTTGGGCAGGAAAGTGGAGTTGTGGCCAAGATGAGATCCGCCTTAATTGTATTAAATGGCAAAACAGGCTTGAGGAGCTGAGATAACAAGGTGTAGAGCTGGATGAACACAGCAGTCCAAGCAGCATCAGAGGAGCAGGAAAGCTGACGTTTCGGATCTAGACCCTTCTTCAGAAATGGGGGAGGGGAAGGGGATTCTGAAATAAATAGGGAGAAAGGGGGAGGCGGATAGAAGATGGATAAAGGAGAAGATAGGTGGAGAGGAGACAGACAGGTCAAGGAGGCGGGGTTGGAGCCAATAAAGGTGGGTGTAGGTTGGGAGTTAGGGAAGGGATAGGTCGGTCCAAGGAGGACGGACAGGTCAGGGGGACGGGATACGCCTAGTAGGTGGGAGAGGATAGGTGGGAGGACAGGTTAGGGAGGTGGGTACGAGCTGGGCTGATTTTGGGTTGTGGTCGGGGGAGGGGAGATTTTGAAGCTTGGGGAGCTGGTTTGGCTACTCTCGCTCTTGGTTGTTGTTTTCTTATATTAGAGCATGAAGTTCTCAGGTGGAAGAATAATAGTTGGAAAATGTGAAAAAGTTGGATTGGCTGTAATCTATTGCATGAAGGTTGATGAGTAATTGAAGGAAGGTCGGGGGGATGTAGATGAAGAGGTCAAGGAGGAGAATGATGCACTTCCATAATTTGAAATTGAAAATATAGGAAACGTATGGGTAACTGCAAAGTACAATACTGTGGAGTGTGGAGAAGTGATGAGGGCCTTCCCTTTCCCTACATTATGAAAGTGATAGTGTTCCTGTGCATTGCTGGTGTGTCCATTTGGATAGTGGAGAATGGATTTGCAGATTGCTTTGGTTCATGCCGGAGATAACATACACTGAAATACAAAGGTAGATAGATAGGTGTTCAGTGAATGAATGATGTGTCAGTTGAAAAGATGGTTGCTATTAATAGTACTTAAGTTCTTAGAATGTTTGCCATGTTGGAGGTGCTATAAAAATGCAAGTTTTGTCGAATATTACAGTTGCACACATCCAGCAAGTGGGCAGAATTCAGTAAAATGCCTTTTTAGGAGGTACAGAAACTTTGTGCAGTCTACAGGTGATCATAGCTAATCATCCAACTCAGTAGCCTATTCCTGCTTTTGTTGATCCCTTTTGCCCCAAGTGCTATATCCAACTTGTCATTAAAATCGTACAGTGTTCTGGTCTGAACTGTTTTGTGGTGGTGTTACTTCTATGGGACAAATATTGCTTGATACTTTATTGGCTGAAGCTCATGTATAATAAATTCCTTGAAACATTGATTTTGTGGAGTTGAACACGGAAATCATTAGCGAAAAGCTTTATCTGTCCTTCTCTAGGCAAAAGCAGCTGACTCGAGTTGAATCTTGAATGCTACCTTCGGGACCTCCTACGATGATATCCTCAGCCTAATATGGTTTGCCCCCTTTTGTGCCAAGTATGACTCCAAGCAGTGGAAGGATTTCTCCTGATATTAGTTATTCTCGGTGTATGTTTTTCAGACTCTTTAGTGCCACTTGTAATCATGGTTAGCAGCAACCTCAATATATTATTAATGACTGGAGGGTTTGGAAAAATATAGAGCACACAATTTCAAAGGCTATTGCTGATGCAACTACAAAAGAGAAGGAAACCGCTGTCAAGGTGGACTAGTTTCACAAGTGGTAGAATCAGTTATTCCAGATGTTACAAATAATCATTTCTACCCGTTCATATCTGTCGGTTTTTGCAAATGATTGATCAAGTTTTTCCCCTATGACTGACTTGTTTCATCCCTGAGAGAGCTTTTAATAAGAATGTAAGAAATAGGACTGTGGGTAGTCTTGTGCATTCCGTGCCTTGAGCTTGTCCTACCATTGTAAGGTTATGTCTGATCTACACCAGGCCTCAAATCACCAGCTCTCTACTCCCTGATTTTTCAAAAATCCATCTGTTTCCTCTTTAAATATTTTCAGTGATCTAGCCTCCACACCTGCCCGCAGTGGAGAGTTCCAGACACTCACTATCCTTTGAGAGAAATAAAACTGAATACCAAGGAACTTTAACTGTGAGTTACAGAGTAAAGGTACTATGTTCCTGATTTCAAGATTCCCCCACCAGTGGCGATGTCTTCCAGGCAAGTACTCTGTCCATAGACCTTTGAATCTTGTATGTTTCAATAAGATTACGGTCATTCTTGTAAACTGAAATAAGTAAAGGCCTAACTTGTTTGGCCTCCTTGTTAAGCCAGCTCCTTCTTTCCAGGAATTAGCCTAGTAGATTTCTATTGACTAATTGTGAAGGATACCTTTTTAAGCTTTTCCTATTTTGCACATTTTTGTTAAGGGAAAAATAACAATTCATCCAGAGAACTCATCTAGGGCCTGTCATTCTGACTTGACTGTGGTTCTACTATATACAGAGGCACAGTATTTACTTCCACATCAAGTTTTTATCCTAGAACGGGTAAGGTAGCCAGTTGATGCATTATTTCTGTGCCAGCTCTCTGCGAGAACAGGTCAACCAATTCTGCTCCTCTGTCTTTTCCCCATAAGCAAGCAATTCCCCCCTCAATCTCCACATCAAGTCCAAAGGAATGCGAAGCACTATGGCAAGAAATTTCATTGCAGGATTTGCCAGAAGTGGTGACATATTTAGATATCCTTCCCCCTTTGGAGTGCAGATATTTTTGGGTCATGGTTTGCCCCCATGCAGGCTAACAAGCATGTGGATACGCCCAGGCACTGAGGAATTAAACTCCTGTCTATGAGGGCATAGCTCTACTGCCTTGTGATTACTCACCCAGCCTTCAACTCTCCTGAAATGGAGGCAGTGGAACTATTTGCTCGCAGCTCAGAGTCTGGTTCCTCAGCCAAAATGTGTACACATCCTGATAAGCCTGCATACTGTACATCTGGGAGTCAAACTTTCTTGGAGTTCCTCTGAAGCTTTATTACCATGAAGAAACATCTTATAATTTTTGCTTTTTATGTATTTTTCAGCATACCCCTTTTAGATACAATGTTAACAAAATTATGCTGACAATGAGCATACAATTCTTTTGAAGAAATCTCCAGCTAAATTATTTTGTTTTGCTTTATTGCAGGTACTGCTGGAAACGAGAGGGTTGCATTGAATGTCCAAGAAAAAAACGTTCTGTTTTGCTGCAGAAAGATGAAAAGAAATAGGGTCATTTGCTTTACTTATCAGTTTTAATATGGTCAGCTCTGAAATATAAAAAAGTAAAAGTAAATTTTAAATCTGGTAAAAATTGGCTTACATTTTTTTTTTGAAAAGTTCTTGTAAGGGGACAGAAGTATTTTAATTTTTTTATTGTTTTGGTTGGCTGAATATTTGGATATGTTAAGGTAGATGTTGGATATACTTGTGCTGTTTGGCAGCTATTCAGATACCTTTAAAATCACTTAAGGACTTTTAAAAGTGCACAGTGTGTCCTCGTCATAACTATAAAATGATGGATATGGGAAGAAGCGAAAGAATGATTATGCTAAATTTGTAAATGTGAAAGTCCAGTAAATTCACAAAATAAAATTTGGGTATTCCTTTAATTTTGGGTATGTTGTAATCAAATCATTGTTCACAAGAGAGTTAGGAATTTTGTTATTTTATGTAATATATAATTTTTCCCCTTCTCTATATGACACTGAGAACATTAATGAAGCAAGCATAGTTCTTCCAGTTCTCAGTTTAAAAACTATTCACTTGTAAATTTTAAGATTATTTTGTACGCTTGGGAAAGATTGACAATAAAATGAACAGCTGAGGGAGTTTGAGGTGTAGGCAAGCACAGAGTACTCCTTCTGGTGCTTCACAGACCAGATCACCCTGAAAGTCCTTCCTGCAGTTTGCAAGCCTGCCTTGAAGAGACCAAAGAGCTCCCGTACTGGAAACATCAAAGCTGAGGGCCCACAAGTTCTGCTTGAAGGTAAGTTGTTTCTTCTTGACCACCTGGTACTTTAGAGGTTCAAACTTTTGAAAACTGAATTTACTTGGCAATTTTCAAACAATGCACTTGTTTTCTGTTACACCACAATAACACTTTTAACCTTGAATATAAGATACTAGAAATAGTGAAATACTTGTATCTCAAGAATTTTTGTTCCCTTGTTATTAATAAGCATCAAAATACCAAGATGCTAACTTCTGTACCAAATGTGATTTTAGAAATTGTTGTTAAATTATTCTTAATTTAAGTAACTTAATGACAGAGTTTGGTCATGAAGTACTGCCCATTACTTGTAAGTATGTTCAGTTCTTGTAACATGTAAAATGTTTCACAGTATGAGGATCACCTTGTGGTAAAAGCTTACTATTTAATTTATCAACACCAATGAAGTGCCTTCAATGCAATTGGATACTGCCAAGTTGCTTCATAGATCCATTTATAAACCAAAATTAGCGAGTTGTAGGATTGACAGAAATGAGAGAGATTGGCTGTGATCAGTCAGTTGGCACCTTTTTTTTTAAGCAATGACTGCTTTAACCTATACTGTCTTTCTATAATCGTCCTAATTTACAGTCCAGTGCACAGTAACAAGATTTTTAATGTGTGTATTGATGTCACAATCATTTATGTTTCTACAGTTTGGGACATTGAAGGTATGTATGGAGCATTCATTCTGGCTTCCAGCAGCACCCATAAAAAAATGGAAGCCTCTCATTAAATTTAAAATGTGTCATTTTAAGGTTTGATGTCTGATCTGTTCGACTCTCTTTCTTGCAACCCTTCCTCAATATCCAGTATTGTACATTCCACTGTATTGTCTGTGCTCAGTTCTACTTGTACAAAAAGCTTTTGTTTTGTAAGTGTTAGCAAAATAAATGGAACGTTTTTGAGCTCCGCCAGTTACAGTCCAGTAAATGCCAACAAATTCACTTCCCATATTCTCTTTATAAAAAAAAACAGTGATCAATCATGCAGTCTAGCTCACTAATTTATAAGGGGGTTTGGTCAGATATTGTTCCATAATTAGCCCTAGCAGCCTTAGGAAATGCAAGAAGGATATTCTAATTTGAGAATTTGTTTTGTTCAAAATTCAGTATGCTGTGTTGTGACTAGCTGCAATGAGTAAATACTTATTTTGCCCAGATTATTATTTTACCTTATGATCTTAAAGTGATAAATTACAGATTGAAGAAATTAATATGAAGAATATCACTTGAATCAGGAAAGGAATAATCCCATTCTCAGCAGTTGTCCTTGTGTATGTTGAAATACCTGCTTACTACTTCTCTTCTTCACACTTTTTTTTCTTTTGCAGGATCCTGGCCATGAGGTTTGATGCCTCACTTCGTTGACAAAAGTCATTGGACCTAAATGGCGCAGCATGACTTTGTTCCTGCTTGGCTTAATTTTCCAACATCTCAGTCTTCAAACAAGGTATACTACAATATTTGGCCCTTTAGATTTTAAATTGTTTTAAGTGATCAAGCAATATACCCTTTTAAAACTTTTGATCTTGCTTCATAAAGCCTGTTGGCATCCACCCCAGCGACCCTCTAAGTTCAGCTAATTCCAGAACTCAAGCATCTCCAATTTTAGTCTATCCACTCTTAGCAGCCCTGCGTTTACTTGCCTAAGCTCCCTGAACTTTTCTGGATCTCCAACTCGGTTTCTTCTGTTAAGCTGGTCCTTAGAAGTTAACTCTTTCACCAAACCATTTGCCTGCTCATTATCTTATGAGGCTCACTGTCAATTTTTGAAACACATTGGACCATTTTATGATGGGAGCGAATATGTAATTCATCAGTAAAGTGATGAAAGGTGTCGTCAGCAGTGCAAACAAGCAGTATCTGCTCGGCAATAACCGACACAGTAACACCCGGTTTGAGTTCCAACAGAACCACTCAGCTCCGGAACTCATTACGGTCTTGGTTCAAACACTGACTGCTGAATTCCAGAGGTGAGGTTAGAGTGATAGCCCTTGACGTAAAGTGTGGCATCAAGGAACCTGAGCAAAACTGGAATCATTGGGTATCGGGCAAAATCTCTGGTGGTTGAAGTCATACCTGGCAGATAAGATGGTTGTGGTTGTAGGAGGTCAGTCATCTGAGCTCCAGAACATCTCTGCAGGAGTTCCTCAGGGTAGTGTCGTATGTCCACCGTCTTCAGTTGCTTTATCAATGACCTTTTCTCCATGATAAGGTCAGCAATGGGAATGTTTGCTGATGATAGCACAGTGTTCGGCACCATTTGTGACTCCTCAGATACCGAAGCAGTCCATGTTCAAAAGCAACAAGATCTGGACAATATCCAGGCTTGGGCAGACAAGTAGCACATAATGTTCGTGCCACATAAATGCCAGGCAGTGACCATCATCAATAAGAGATAATCTAACTGCTGCTCCTTGACATTCAGTGGTGTTACCATCACTCAGTTGACATCCATGGGGTTACCATTGACCAGAAACTCAACTGGCCTCAATACACGAACACTGGCTATAAAAGTAAGAGAGCCGATGAATGCTGTGACGAATAACTCACTACCTGACTTGGCAGAGCTTGTCCGTCGTCAACAAGGCACAAGTCAGGAGTGTGATGAAATACTCTGGGTGCAGCTTCAACAGCACTTAAGCTAGGCACCACCCAGGACAATGCAGTCAGATTGATTGACACCATATCCACAGACATCCGTCCCCTGCACCACGGATGATCAGTAGCAGCAATGTGTACTGTCTACAAGATGCGTTGCAGACATTCACAAAAGATCGCCAGACAGCAACTTCCAAACCTAGGATCACTTCTGTCTAGAAGGACGTGGGCAGCAGATATGGGAGAACACCACCACGTACAAGTTCCCCTCCAAACCACTCACTGTCCTGACTTGGAAGTATGTCACTCTTCCTTGACTGCTGCTGGGTCACAATCCTGGAATTCTCTCCCTAACAGGATTGTGAGTCAACACACGGCAGGTGGACTGCAGCGGTTCAACAAGCCAGCTCACCACCACCTTATTAAGGGCATCTAGGGATAGGCAGTAAATGCCAGCCAGACAGTGACATGCAAATATCATGAATGAATAAAAAAAAATTACAGGTGCTGTTTTTAAGTACATGTTTTGTTCAAAAACTAAGTTGCATTGTAGTGAGAAAACCTTTAGCTTTTCTTGAAGTCACAGAGCAGATTATGATGCATTTTAGAAGACTGATGGCATTTTCATCATTATGAAAATCTGTGCCCTGACCACTGTTTCTATTCCCAGCAACGATCTGAAGACTAGTCACAACTTTGGTGCTGTGTTTTACCCTGGGATGATGTTTTGGCAATGTAACAGCTGGGATCAAGTGAATCTCTTGAGTATAAGGGCAATAGGAGTATACTTAAGGAAATCAGGAGGGCAGAAAGTGGCATGAGAGCTTTGGCACATAGGGTTAAGGAGAATTCGGAAAGAGATTCTACAAATGCATTAAGGGAAAAAGAGTAACTAGGGAGAGAATAAGGCCCCTTAAAGATCAACAAGGCTGTCTATGTGTGGAACCGCAGGAGATGGGGCGATACTAAACAAATATTTCACGTCAGTTTTACTGTGTGGAGAAGGATATGGAAGCTAGAGAACTTGGAGAAATAAATAACAATCTCTTGAAAAGTGTCCATATTACAGAGGAGGTGGTGCTGGATATCTTAAAATGCATAATTGTGGATTAATCCCTGAGACCTGATCAGGTGTGTCCAAGAATTCAGTGAGAAGCTTGATAAGTGATTGCTGGGCCCCTTGCTCAGATATGTGCATCATCGATGGCCATGTGTGAGGTGCCAGAAGACTTGAGGGTGGCTAATGTGGTGCCATTATTTAAGAAAGGCTGTAAGGCAAAACCAGGGAACAATAGACCGGTGAGCCTGACTTAATGTGGTGGGTATGTTGTTGGAGGGGATTCTGAGGGACAAGATTTACATGCATTTGAAAAAGCAAGGACTGATTTGGGATAGCCAGCATGGTTTTGTGTGTGGCAAATCTTGTCCCACTAACTAGATTAATTTTTTTGAAGAAGTGACAAAGAAGATTTACAGTAGAGCAGTGGACGTTGTCTTTACAGACTTCAGCAATGTGTTCAAAAAAGGTTCCACGTAGTAGACTGGTTAGTAAGGTCAGATCACCACGAATACAGGGAGAGATATACGTTTGGATACAAAGTTGGCTTGAAGGTCGGAGACAGGGTTTTGGTGGAGGGTTGTTTTTCAGACTGGAAGTGACCAGTGGTGTGTCGCAAGGATTGGTGCTGGGTTCACTTGAATTTGAGTATAGGAGAAATGGTTAGTAAGTTTGCAGTTGACATGAAAATTGGTTGCATAGCGGACAGTGAAGAGATTATCTCAGTACAAAAGGACCTTAATCCGATGAGCTGAGGAGTGGCAGATGGAGTTTAATGTAGATAAATGTGAGGTGTTGCATTTTGGTAAGGCTAATCAGGGCAGGACTTGGACACCTAATGGTAGGGTTATATAGTCAGTCCTGCAGCAACCTTGACAGGCCCTTTTGATCCAAACTGGTCCATGCTGACCAAAATATCCATCCATGCTAACCCCATTTCCAGCTTGGCTGATATCCTTCTAAACCTTTTCCTATCCATGTATTCATCCAAATGCCTTTTAAATGTTGTTAATGTACCCACTTCAACCACTTCCACTGGAAGCTCATTCCATATGCATACCACCTTCTGTGTTTTTTAAAAAAAAAGTTGCCCCTCAGGTTCCCATGTATTCTTTCACCTCTTACCTTTAAACTGATGCCCTCTTGTCCTTGATTTCCCCCAACCCTGGGAAAAATACTGAGTGCATACACTGTGTCCATGCCTTTCATGATCATAAACACTTCTGTAAGATTCCACCCCCCCAACTCCAGTTAAGTCTCCTACACTCTAAAGAAAAATGTCCTAGGTTGTCCCTATAACTCAGTCCCTTGAGTCCTGCTAACATCCTTGTAAATTACTTATGCACTCTTTAATAACATCCTTCCTATAATAAGGTGACCAAAACTGAACACACTACTCCAAGTGCAGCCTCACGAACGTCCTGTACAACTGCAACATAACTTACCAATTTCTATACTCAGTGCCCTGACTGATGAAGGCCAGTGTGCCAAAAGCCACCTTCACTGCACTGTCTACCTGTGACTCCACTTTCAGAGAACTGTGCACCTGAACTCCAAGGTCCTGACCCATCCCGTGCTTTCGCCATTACCCCTCCCGATCACTTACAACAGCATGATCGGGTTCCCCTTGTCCTCACTTTTCATCCCACCAGCCTCTGCATTCAAAAGATCATCCTGTGCCATTTCAGACAACTCCAGTAGCACGTCACCACCAAATACATCTTTCCCTCAGTCCCCTGTCTACGTTTTGTAGGGATCGTTCCCTCTGGGACACCCTAACCCATTCCACTGAGCTATCAACATCTCTTCTTCATCAGCACCCTACACCCATTACTTCCCCCATCTCCCACCACAACTATACCATAAATGTTGTCTCCTCCACACTTCACTTCAGCTCTGAAGAAGTCACCCAGACTCACCGTTAGGTTGCTTTCTTTCCATGAATGCTGTCTGACCCACTGTGATCTCCAGCATTTGTTGTTTTTAGTAATAAAGGAGGTGTTTGGTACACTAGCCTTTATTGGTCAATGCATTGAGTACAGGAATTGGGATGTCATATTGTGACTGTAACAGGACATTAATTAGGCCACTTTTGGAATACTGCATTCAGTTCTGGTCTCCTTGCTATAGGAAAGGTGTTGTTAAACTTGACAAGGTATAAAAAAGATTTACAAGGATATTGCTGGTGTTGGAGGGTTTGAGTTATAGGGAGAGGCTGAATAGGCTGAGGCTGTCTTTCCTGGAGTGTCAGAGGCTGAGGGATGACCTTGTGGAGGTTTATAAAATCATGAGCATGGATATGGTGAGTGCCCCAAGATCTTTTTGCCAGGGTAGGGGAGTACGGAACTAGAGGGCATAGGTTTAAGGTGAGAGGGGAAATATTTACAAGGAACCTAAGGGGCAACTTTTTCATGCAGAGGGTGGTGCATTTATGGAATGAGCTGCCAGAGGAAGTGGTGGAGACTGGTACAATTACACCATTTGAAAGGCATCTGGATGGGTATATGAATAGGAGGGGTTTAGGGGGATATGGGCCAAATGCTGGCAAATGGGACTAGATTAGTAGATAAATTGGACTGAAGGGTCTGTTTCCATGCTGTACAACTCTGACTGTACCTGCTCCCTAACCAAAGGTGTCTGCTTGGACCTCCATAATATCACCTGACTCTCAGCTAGCCTCAACTCATTGTCCAGTGAAAATACTAGTGTGTATCACCTCCCTCATTTTCACCAGTCTATTTGTAGCAGATCTGTCTATGACAGTTTTGGTACGAGTGGCCACTGCATAGTCCTTTTTGGGACAAAGTCCTACTTTCACATAAACAATACATTGTGTTTTATGGCACTGGCTGAATGGTATAAATTTGAAACAGTTGCAGCAACCCAGGACTGGACATCTTTGAGGCACTGTAGACCATCAGCAGCAGAATTGTAATCAAAACAATGTATAACTCTATGGCACAGTATATTCCAAACTTTGACATTGTCACAAAGCCACAGAATCAATTCTGGCTCAGTGAAGAGTGTGGGCGGTATGCCAGGAACAGCAACAGGCAAACATAAAACTGAGGTATGCTGAAACTACATAGAAACACAGAAGGAGGAGGCCATTCGACCCATTAAGTCTGCTTTGCCATTCATTGCAATCATGGTTGATCGTCCAACTCAGTAGCTTAATCCTGCTTTCTCCCCGTAATCTTTGATCCCATTTGCCCCATGTGCTATATCTAGCTGCCTCTTGAATACATTCAACGTTTTGTCATCGAATACTTCCAGGAGTAATGAGTTCCACAGGCTCGCCACTCTTCAGGTGAAGACATGTCTTCTCATCTCCGTCTCAAATGGTCTACCCCGAATCCTCGGACTGTGACCCCTGGCTCTGGACACATCCACCATCGGGAACATCCTTCCTGCATCTACATGTCTAGTCCTATTAGAATTTTGTAAGTCTCTGAGATCCTTCCTCATTCATTTGAACTCCGGCAAAAACAATACTAACCTAGTCGATCTCTCCTCATACGTCAGTCCTGCCATCCTTGGAATCAGCCTGGTAAACCTTCACTGCCCTCCCTTGAGAGCAAGAGCATCCTTCCTCGGGAAAGGAGACCAAAATTGCACATGGTAAGGCCATACCTAGAATACTAAGGCCCTTTATAACTGCAACAACACATCCCCGCTCCTATACTCAACCACTCGACTGCTAAAATGTCAAGTAATATAAGCAATACACAATGAACAGAAGTAAGTAATCATATAACAAACTAATCAGATCTTAGTTCTCCAGCCCTGCCACATCCAGTGATGAATTGTAATGGACAATGAACCACTTCCTCAGGGGAGACTCCATAAATGCCTTTAACATCAATGATGGGAGGAGGTAGCACTTCGGTGCAAAAATCAATGCTGAGGTAGTTCCAAACATCTTCCATTTGGTAATGCTGAGTGGGTAATCCATCTCACCCTCCACCTGAGGTCCTCAGCATCACAGATGCCCATGCCTGGCCAATTGGATTCACTTCAGCTGGTATCAAAAAGAAAGCTCGAGGCATTGGATAGTGCAAAGGCAATGAGCCTTGAAAGCATTTTGTCCATAGTGCTGAAGATTTCTGCTCCGGAACTAGCCACACCCCTAACCAAGTTGTTCCAGTATAGCTACTACACTGGGATCTCTCCAGCAATGTGGTAAATTTCATAGATATGTCCCATCCACAAGAAACAATAAATCCAACCTGACCAATTACTATCCCATCAATCTGTTCTCATTCATAAGCAAAATGTTGGGCGATGTTGTCGCAGCACTATCAAAGTGTACTTGCTCAGTAATAACCTGCTCACTGACACTCAGTTTGGCTTCTGCCAGACCCATTCAGCTCCTGACCTCATTACAAACTTGGTACAAACATGGACAAAAGAGCTGAACTCTAGAGGTGAAGTGAAGATTACTATATATGACATCAAGGGAGCATTTGACCGAGTGTGCCATGAAGAAACCCTAGCAAAACTGGAATGAATGGGAGTTGGGAGAAACTTTCCACTTGAAGTCATGCGTGGCACGAAGGAAGATGGTTATGGTTGTCAAAAGCAGTCATCTGTGATGAAGAACATCTGTGCAGGAGCACTTCAGGGTGGTGTTCCCGGTCCACCCATCTTCAGCTTCTTCATCACTGCCCTTCCCTGCATCATAAGGTTGGAAGTGGGAATAATCACCAATGATTGCACAGTGTTCAACATCATCTACAAATCAAATATTGAAACAGTCCATTTCCAAATGCAGCAAGACCTGAGCAACATTCAGGTTGGGTTAATAAGTGGTAAGTAACATTGTGCTGTGCAGATTTCAGACCATCTCCAACAAGAGACAATCCAACCATCGTCCCTTGGCATTCAATGGCACTACTAAAACTGAATCCTCCACTGTCACCATCCAGGGAGTTACCAGTGAAACTGAACAGAACCACCTATACAAATACTGTGGCTACAAGAGCACATCAGAGGCTAGGAATTCTCCAGCAAGTAACTCAACACCTGACTCCCCAGAGCTTTTGCAGTATTGACAAGGCACAAGTCAGGATTGATGGAATAATTCCCACTTGCCTGGATGAGTGCAGCTCTACTAGCACACCAGTGGCTTGACACTGTCCAGGACAAGGCAGCCTGCTTGATTGGCACTTCGTCCACCACTGAAGCTCATTAGCGGCAGTGTGTATCATTCTCAAGATGGACAGAAGTCCACCAAAGCTCCTTATACAGCACATTCCAAGCTCATAGCTACTACCATCTTGAAAACAAGTGCAGCAGATTGATGGGAACACCCCACTTGCAAGTTCCCCTCCAAACCGTTCATCATCTGGACTTGGGAACTATGTCACTGATCATTCACTGTTGCTGAGTCATTATCTTGGAATTCTTTTCCTTGAAGTTTACTAACACCCTGTGGACTGCGGCTGTTCAAGCAGGCAGCTCACCACCAACTCATTGATAATTAATGATAGGCAATAAATCCTGGCCTGGAAAGTGACACTCTCATCCCATGATTCAGTAGGATAGCATTGTGATAACTAATTCTTGAAAAATAAGAGAAACTTGACTATGCATAGAAATATGTCAGAATTTTAACATAAAAACTGGCTATTTAACCAAAGTAATATGTATTGGCATTTATCTACTATGTGAGTAAATATTGTGAATAACACTAACCTGCCCTGTTCCTGAACCTTTTTGTCCCCATTTTCTTCAATTACAAAATCTACATCATTCACATTTTGACCACAAGGTAGCAGCAATATAATCAAACCTTAAATAATTGGGCTTTCAACTAATAATTATCAGCTTTCTTTAAATCAGAATCAATGCATTTCGGAAG